AAATACATTACTTTTCGTGTTCATATTTATTTTTTCGTAGACCATCGCACGATATAAGAAACTTCTTCCTTCGTGCCATTTCTTCCGTTCGACTGTTTGAGCCCTCTGATGGCGGGAGATGATAACGATAATCTCGTTTCTAAAATAATCAAAAATTTTCTGTAAACGTACGAAATGGAATAACATTATTTATTTAAAATACACTTCGCACTATTATTTTGTAAATTGTTAATTTTTTAAAATATTCAAGCATTTTTTTTTTGTTTTGATTTTTCTACTTTAAAATTATTCATGTTTCTGCGTTTGTTTCCATAAATTAAATAATAAAATAAACTTGAACATTTTTCCAAAATTTTAAGTTTTTGGTGTAAAAAATACTTGATATAATACAGTGGTGCCTCATATAACATACGCTTCGAATAACGGACGCTGCGAACAACGGTCTTTCCGTTCGGCAGTTAAGTGAGGCGAACAAGTGATAATGATGTTTCCACTCTTTTGCCGTTGCCAATAACAATCTGCTATTTTTATAATATGTTAATATTATTAGAATATATTATTAGTATATCTGAAATNTTTTATTTAATTAATTTTTTCAAAATGTATTTAATTGAAAAAAACATGTATCTTTTAGCTTATTTTTAAATGTGATTACTAAAGAACGTAATTATCATTGTATACCAGTAGCGTGCCGTGACATTTGATGATAGAGAAGCTGTGTTTCTTTAAGAAGCCGACTTCTGGGAACAATCAGTTAATTGCGCATCAGTGATGGTCTAGGGTCCATTCGTATAAATTTGTTCGATAAGCCAGTAAAAACCGTAGACTTCTCTAAATGTATTTTTAATATCACAATTACATTCTGAATCGCTAGCCACGATATAAGGGCTAAAATTAAAAATAAAATTATAAAAACTTACTTGGTGAAATAAAATGTGTGGTGGATATACATACCTGGTACAAAACATTCTTGAATTTGTATGAATATACTTTTAAAGAAAATTATAATTAAATATTGCTTTGTAAAGAAACGTACATAAAAATAACATAAAATATTCTTTACTTTTTAAATCTTAATATATAAGGCATCTGGGTGGTATGCGGAACAAAGATTTTGTAATGCCCAAACTTTGAATTTAATGTTGGAGAATGGTAAGTTTCATTTTAAAATCTAATGTAGGGATACATTAGACAGTACTCATACATACTGAATACAGTGAACGACAAAATAATAAGTTCACTAGATTTTTTAAAGTTTTTATTTTATTCGGTCATTTCACTGGCATGAAAAATATTATACATTATTATCACCACAAAATATACAAGAAACTAAAAATTTAAGACCTCTAACATAAATATATTTAGTTTTTTTTTTTAACAAAAATAGCATGTGACAAAAAGATAAGCTCATACTTTAAATGCAAATAAAAAATAAACCAGTAACCAGTTGCTCAACTTTCCCGGCAACATTTAAAATTTTAGTGGGCGCCATCTGTTAATATATTATTTTAAAAACTTTTCATATTTTTAACTATTATAAAATGGCAAAAGTTTAATTTTGAGAGTAAAAATGGGTTTTATAAAATATTGTAAATGCTAATAACGAGTAAAATTAAGTCCGATCCTACTGGAGATACACACAACTCCCATTATCTTCCTACCACCTCGACCGTTAATCTCCAAATTTTAATAGCATCAATCTCCCTTATAAACAAACCTCAATGCAAAATTTCAGAAAATTTCGACAAAAAGTACAGGAGTTATTAAACTTCAAACAGGGTGAAGAAAATCGTCCCCCCTACACACTAAATCTATACATACAGAAATTACTCGCGATTTTTTTTATTTTTTTTTATTTTTGTATTTCTCAACGTTTCGGGGTGTCCTAAGTCCGAAAATGTAAAAATCTGGGAGTTCATTTTTTGACCAATCTCCATATTAATTCGGCCATTCCTCGTACAGAACCAGATTATCCAGACTGCCAGATTACTGAGATTGCATAAGTATAAAGCGTACCAAAAATCAATGAGCAAATTCATGGCATGCTCGCATGTAACACTGTATAGTACATAAAAGTGAAACCCCAGTAAACAGAAAAACAGGGTGTTTGACATGCCTAATATTTTCGCGAAAAAGGAAATTTAAAGGAGAACACAAGGAGATTTAACAAGTTTATTACATAAAGCAAATTATTACATTAAAACAATCAAAAGACAGCAGAGAAATAATTTTTAGAATAACTTTTAATTGGGCTGCAATTTGAAAAATTTGTAGACCTATAAATATCCATTGTCCGTCCTTCCTTAATCTCGAGAACGGAGTTAGATAGATGAAAGCCGAGACCAGATATGTTAAGTTTAGGGGAAGGGCGCCAGATTAACTGTATACTTCTGGTTCGAACCGGAAGTATACAGTTAATGACTTCCGGTGACTTCCAAATAACGTGACTTCCGGTTCGCAACTTCCGTTGCGAACCGGAAGTCACGTTATTTCATTTAATTTATTTATTTCTCTTTGAATACACATAGTTATAATTATCTACGTATGAACTAAAGTAAATGTCATTTATAGTGTAATTATTTAATTTTTAAGTTTATTTATATACATTTTTTAAATTAAGCCATTTAAAAATAATTGTTAAAAATAACTTAGGCTGTGAAATTGATACACAAAGTATGACTTACATGATAAATTACAATGGAAGGAGCTATTTTATAATATTACTAGTGGTTTTCATAAAACTTCCTGAAGTAGCTAATTTTCCACCCCCTCTTCGTTTAACATGCAAAACTATTGGGCCATGTCAAACATGTAAATTAATATGTTGATATAACTAAAAAATTAAGACCAGTGAAAGAAAGATTACATAAATGGTTGTAATTAACAGGTAATAGGCCTATTTGTTGAATTTTCATAATACTGTAGACTATATTTAATTTTGAAATTTTGAATATTAATTAATTGAAATATCCATTACCGTATTACGGGTTCGAGTATTCAATATAGAAACAATTGTAATCGAATTTGATTTTGGAGAATCCACAGAAGTCGTAAAAAATATTACACTTCGTCACAATGGTTTTGATTCATTGATGTATGCTTTTAGGTTATGTTTAGAAGGCAATTATGATGAACCTTTGGAGGATTTAATGCTACACATTACAGATTCTAATGATTGTCGCACTATTGTATAAATTACATTGAAAATTAAGTTAGAAAAAAATTTATGTGGTAAAATGTAATTAATATTCACAATTCTTTTGAATTTTGTTTGTACTGCCCTTTAGGTCTATCGTATATGAATTTATTTTTATTAATGGTTGAGTTGCTTAATTTTTAAAATCATTTATATTGTAGTCAATTAAATAGATTAAACAATGCAAAAAGTACTGTACTGTAAGAATAATAATGTATTAAATACAGTAGAAGTTTGCTAATCTGGCACCCCAATAACCTGAAATTGTCTGCTAATAATTAGGGATTATAGTATTTCGATTATATGTAGCTTTTGTGAATTATGTGCATACAGTACATGTCTGGAAAATCAATATTACATGTACACGAATCGTGAATATCGAATTTGTGTAATAATGTGTCCATTGACGATCTTGCAGCTCTTTTCAGCCAATCATATCACAATATGTTCGTGCATTAAAGAGCGTACGCACAAAAATCGGAAGCATACAGCAGTAAAAAATGTACAGCAATGTCTTCATGTGTTCAGATCGCATATAACTTACTTAATTTTGCAAAAACGACCGGAATCAGACATCTAAGGGATCAAAGTGGTGATTGATTGGCAAACTTCTACTGTATACAGCATGTATTCTAACGTGCAACTGGACACAAAACGTGTAATGAATTTTGAATTATGCAGTGGGAATTTCATATTTGTGCAGTAATTAATTGTCTGATTACGGGTTTTATATGTATTTCTTCCTTCTAGTTATGTTAAAGTTAAAATATTTACCTAAATTACACTATACGGTAAAACCTGTCCAGAACGAAAACTGAAAAAAATTCTTCGAAACGGAGCAATTTTCTGTTTAAAAAAGAACCTGTTTAAAACAGAAATAATATTCGGTACCGTGCTATCCTGGTTTACACAAGTTTTACTGTAAAATTTATTCGGTCCACGAAAAAAGAGCTATGGAAGGAATGTTTGTAGGATTGACCATTTGTATCGAATATATAGCCTACTGGTACAATTGATGTTTTTTATGCAGCCTTAACATCAATATTATCATTTTATCTATAATTCACAACCACGGCGTACTTATCGTATAGTAAATTATATTACATCACAAACTTTCATGACTTTCTCATGAATATTTTTTGCTGCAAATGTAAAGTTTAATTTGGAACACCCTGTAATTTTACGTTTATTTTATGCTGTTTATGTGAATGGGTTAACGCGATAACATCTACAATAAAAATTATGAGAAATTCTATACCAATTAACTCTTTAGATTTGCATCTTACTCCAGTTTAGGATACTTTTAATGTATAAGATATTCGATTTAACGAATTTTCGAAAATAGCGGACACTTCTCCCAATTAGTCCGTTAAATCGGGGTCTACTGTATTAAATTTAAAACCGATTTACTCTTTCCTACTTTATTCTATTTTAAACATTTTTAATATATTAAAAACAATATTCTAATTTAATAATTATCGATTATATTAAAGGATAAAATTGATTTTTAGATGTTATTGTAATTTTGTTCACAGTCAATTGACTGAATAAAACACTTTTCTTTCTTCTAAACTATATATTTAATTTTCATTAAATATAATTTATCTACTTCCCATTTGTTAAAATGTTTATTGCATTTAATAATATGCTTAATAATGCTATTTGTGGATTAATACAATAATAAAATAGAAAAAAATACAACGTTATTTTTTCGCACATTCATGTGTTATAAAGAATGATTCAGATGAATTTTTTTCAAAGTCATATGATTCACCATTTCAGATAATTGGTGTACAATTAAAGAAGTTTGCTGCAATTCAGTATTTGAATAAGGATAAGGAATAATTGAAAATTAAATAGAAAAGAGTTGAGGAAAAAAACAAAAGAAATGAATATTTCTCCTTCAAACAATTGTCAATCAAATCAAAATGATTCTGTAAAATGGAATTTTAAAGATTTCATTCCACGATTACGTTCCGGTTCAACTTATGATGAATTTAAGTAAGTACAAAATTTTTAACTGTAACATACCGGTATTTTTATTGAGCCACAATTTTAAAAAATTGTAGACCTATAAATTCTTACTGTCTGCTTGTCCTTTCTTAATCCCGAGAATGATGTTAGATAGATGAAAGTCTTGACTGGATATAGAAAGCTTTGGGGTAGGAGGCCCCAATTAATTTCACCCATTTTTCAATCAATTTATATTAATTTAATTTATTTAATTATGATTTAATCATTATTTTATCGTAAATAGTAAGTTAAATTACGACGAGCTTCGTGAATTACAGATACAATATGTCATAAATCTGTCGTATTTAACGATATTGCGAGAATACGACGTTGTAACTAACGACACTTTCCTGAATCCGGGCCTTAGTTTTGAGAGTAGAGATATTCTAAAAAAGTTTTTAAAGATAGTTTTTAAAAATATTGTAAATGCCGAAAATGATTAAAATTTTCATTATGTCGGAAGCACCTCAGATATGACACAGGATCTCTCTATTTGTCCACGCCCTCAAACTTTAATCACCAAAATTTAACAGCATCTGTGCCCTTTAAACACAAGTTACCATGCCAAATTTCGTTTCTTAATTTTTACCTAATTCTTAAATATTAAAGGAAATACACCCCAACACACAGACACTTACATATACACGGAATTTTTTGCCGATTTTTTGGATTTAGTGGTCTCAAAACGTCGAGATTCGAATAAAAATCCCGCAGAGTCAAACTTGACACGATTCCAATAATTTCCCATGTTATGTATACATAAAAATGGAGAAAGTAATCACTGTGTAATTCATAGAAATGAAATTAATATATTGTTTATTTCTTCTAAAACAGAGATATTATCAAACGAGCGAATAATTGGCTTCAAAAGAATCCGTCACACGAAGTGAAAACATGTGAAACTGTAAGGTTTAAATCTGTACCACGTAAAGTTTCGACTGAACGCATGAATTATTATGAATATTTTGATAATACAACTTATACAACAGCCTTAAGGTAAATAAATATAAAAATTTTATTCACGTATTTTTCTATAAGCAAAAATTTAAGTTAGTAATTTAAACTTTTAAATACTTTTATTGAATCATTTTACCAACAAATTAATTTCAAAATGTAAAGTATCCTTTATATTTAATTGTTATTAGATCCTTATTAAACATTTCTTTTTGTGTTAAGCTTTTGAAGTTTGTTTAGAAATATTAAATGAAACTGATCGAAGAGATTTAGTAATTGAATAACTTAGAATCATTTACAAAAAAATAAGCCACACTTTTTAACGAATTTAAGAATTCAAAGTCCTTTTCCGGGAGGAAAAGCGGGAAACATAAAAACTTTTCGCATGGTTCCACGTGGATATCGATGATATTTAACACATTTGGCCGTCTTCATTTGCAGGTCTAGTTGAACTTGTAATAGGTTGTAAATAGCTACCTCTAGTGCCCATGGGACGGAAAGCGTAAAAAAATGAAAATAACAGCAAATGTTTTATTTTTATTTATTTAAGCAATTAACAGCAATATACAGTAGGACCGCATTTAATCAGAGACAAAAGCTCATCTTCGTATTCTTTATTTACTTATTTACTATGCATTTCGGGCGCAATATTTTTGTGTAACTTGCACCCCTCTTCAGGTTTTACATTTCTATAAATTGGTAAATTCGATTATTACATTTGTTATTACGGTAAATTACAACAATTTTGGATATATTTACACAATAGTTAACTAACCTGTTTTATGTTTAGACATACATCTGCCCAGTGTATGTCTAAACATAAAACAGTTGATGTTGGTGTTGATGTTGTGTCCCCTAAGGCATTTTTAGACAGTTTTCCCCTTTTTTGTTTTCTTTCCCTTTAGCTCCGGGTGCAATAACACACGTTCCTCCCACTAAAGGGAGGAACGTGTTTTATTGCACCCGAAATGCATAGTAAATAAGTAAATAAAGAATGCGAAGATAAGCTTTTGTCTCTGATTAAATGAGGTCCAGGCAAAGAAAATAAAAAAAAAAACGGCGGTTATTTCTGTGGAATTAACCCATAAAGTTTCATCAATTTTTTGAGGAAATATTTTCTTTGAAAAATTGACCTTTTAAAAGAATATAAAGAAAACCGCACCACTGATATAATACATATCTATTACTCACAGGAGATATATTGTATTCTACAGTATAGAATTAACGATACTGTAAATTTTCACTGAGGGTCCACTCAGAATCAGAGGCATTAACGGTATGCTCAGTACTACTGGTGTTCCTTTCTCGGGATAAATAATGTATTTTTTGAAATTCACGAGCTTGCTCGCAAAGTCTGCTGAAAATTTCTATAAAACGGAAGTGCGTCGACAAAGTGAAAATCCTTGTCGCTTCATAAATTTGTCTACCTAACTTCTGCTGGTTCGGAATACTTTACGGAGAATACTCAAATGTCGGGCAACTTCATATACTTTAAGGCTGCTTCTGGCGCTTATCACACAAGTCATACGCGTTTGCCTAACTTACTCTGCAACTTTTTCCTTCAGTCTGGATGGCCACCAAACTCCGATTTGGGACAGATTTCAGTAATGTCATCTTTAACTTTCTTCAACTACAAATTTGATTTTCGTTAAGTTTCGAAAGTGTAGTACAACTGTCCTATTTTCGAGTTTCTCTGCAGCAAAGATGACTTATTTTATTAAGCTGTGTAAGAAACACGCTTATGTTTGTCTTCTGATAAAAAATCTGTTGTGACAAATCACACAAACGAAAAAGGAAGGCAAAAGAATTTGCATTCGATAGCAGCATTACGTCAGGGATGCAAAAGAGCAGTCTAAAAACTAGAGTATGACTATATTCAATCGTGGCTTATTTTCGTGTAAATATAGTATTTACCTCAAATTTTTGATGTTTCGTGTGGTGATCAGACGATTTTGTTTACTTATTCCATTACATTGCTCCTGAAGTTTGATCGAATAAGTAACCAAAGTTTATTATCGTAGACAACAATTGGAAAAGTCATTTCTACTTCATAAACAGTTATAATAGTTTATTTTCATAGCCATTTCTTCTTGAAACACCAGAGGATTCGGATCTCATGAAAATCCGTAGCGTTAAATATAGCCCTTGTATTATCCTTATATATCCAACGATGAACAAACCAATTCATATCTCTTTCTATCTGATGACAATACAAACAAATCCCTTCCTCTCTTTGTTTTCTAAAATCCTGTCTCCATGGACAATTTTATACAGTGTTAAGGGACAAAAGGGGAAAGAATTGGACTTTTTGTTCATCGTTGGAACAAAAATGTTGGACTGGAATTTGAAAAAATTGTATAACTATAAATTCCCACCGTCTGTCCGTCTTTCTTTAATCTCGAGAACAAAGTTAGAAAGCTGAACGTTGAGACTAAATACGGAAAGCTTGGAGACCGGAGACTCCGATTAACTATATACGAATTTCCGGACTGCCCCGGAAGTCACGTGATTTCAATTCAACAACTTTCTCCAGAACGGAGTTAGATGGATGACTCGATTGCAACTAAGGGAATCGAGTCATCCATCAGGTATGATGTACAGGGTCAAGATGTTACTAAAATTGAGGTCAGATACAAAAAGCTCAGTTTAAATAAATTGAAGTATGATTAAAAATACGAGATCGCTCGTTCACATATATGCTCGCATGTAACACTGTATAGTACATAAAAGTGAAACCCCAGTAAACAGAAAAACAGGGTGTTTGACATGCCTAATATTTTCGCGAAAAAGGAAATTTAAAGGAGAACACAAGGAGATTTAACAAGTTTATTACATAAAGCAAATTATTACATTAAAACAATCAAAAGACAGCAGAGAAATAATTTTTAGAATAACTTTTAATTGGGCTGCAATTTGAAAAATTTGTAGACCTATAAATATCCATTGTCCGTCCTTCCTTAATCTCGAGAACGGAGTTAGATAGATGAAAGCCAAGACCAGATATGTTAAGTTTAGGGGAAGGGCGCCAGATTAACTGTATACTTCTGGTTCGAACCGGAAGTATACAGTTAATGACTTCCGGTGACTTCCAAATAACGTGACTTCCGGTTCGCAACTTCCGTTGCGAACCGGAAGTCACGTTANGTTGATACGTAACCCATTCAGAAGGTGACGTCACCATCACTTCACAACAATTTTTATTTTTTTAAACAAACGCCATTATTGACATGTTTTTCATTATTCCGTAAATGAATAAAATAATGTAACTTTTAGTTAACTAAAAAGAGTGACGAAAGCTGAAACTAAAACCAAGAAAATATCATCGATAATCTCATTTATATGTCATACACACTGATCACAATGTTCAATGAAAGAGTATAAGGCTATTACTATCCTCACAATCCTCTTCAGTTCTTAAACATAATAAAAATATAATTAAGTAATTACAATATTATTTTATGATTCAAATTTTATTGATTTTTTTTAAACTTAGATTATGGTTTATTATTCGAGACACTCTGGACCAACGATCGCCTCAAAAAATTAATTATTATGCTTTAGTTCCAAAGAAGATAGGCGATCCACAGAATAAAGTTCCTGTATTTGAGAACTTAAGTCAATGTCTGGATAGATTTAACACATCTATTGCGACTAAAATTCCAGGTAATAATTTACTAAAAATAATTATAATATTATTTATATATTATATTTTTAAACCTGATTATTTTTTGTAACATTTATTATAAAATATTATTTTAAAAGTATCGGAATACTTTTACTTTTCACTAGAACTTCATCCCCGAGTGCAGCGCAGAATAGGCTTGCGACCTCGCATTAGATTATTAGAAAAATGCTAAATTATTTGTATACAAAACTATCAAGTTTGACTTAATATTATTTAAAATTTACATAAAATAATGTACTTGGGACATTTCTTCATTCTCTTTCATCTCAAATTTATTAAGAACATTTATTTTCCTCTTGTAACCATTTTATCAATAAGATAAAGCACCATAAAGTGTATTTGCTGCATATTTTTAAACACAAACAACAGAAAGCACTAATGTTTCCACGAAGAATAGCGATTATATGGAAAAAAATAGGGTACTCAGTTTGTCTTTGTAGAATACCAATATTTAGAAGTAAGAGTTGTAGTCTACGTTGTACAGTACGTGACTGCAAGTGCAAGAATCCTTGTACTTGTCGGCCACACATAAACGATCGCCTCCCTACACCCGTTTCTTGGATCGCTACTTGAATTCCATTAGACAGGTTCAATAGCGTCGTGGAGTATGGACATTGTCACTTTGAACCCCACTGTATCTCAAAAAAGGAAATTAAGACCCTTATTTTTCATCACAGTTTTGGATTCCTTGATTCAATTAATGGAAAATGGCAAAGTTTTATCAGAATCGGTCAATCAAATTTTGAGAACAGAACGCAGTTTTATCAGCCATTAGCTTACACTTATTAGCTTTACACGCATTAGCTTACACAGCCATTACTCCTCAAATGTAATAGTGTAGCGATGTAAAACATTCATTTTAATGTTGAAGAAAAACTCCGTTTTTATCTATGTATGCAACGAAAGGTAAGTAGTTGTGACGTGTATTTTACACGTCACAACTGCATTGCATTTAGTTGTTGTTTGTTAAGTTACGGCAAGGCATCGCTTGGGCGATCTGTCTAGGGGGAATGCCTTCCGATAGGTCTTTTTAAGGATAACTGGCCTCTATTGGGCCATTACAGACGTGGAGAAAACCCGGAAAACTCCACGTCGGCAGCCCGTCCTGGCGAGGCGCGAATCCACGACCGAACTCCCAGTGTTTAGGGAACGGAACCGTTTTGCCACTAGTGGGCCCCATAGCATTTAGAGCATGACTAACTTCGTTTACGACGAAGGAAAACGTACACGGTACAAGATGAGAGGTATAAAAGTACCACGTTCTGTGCCACACAAATAGAACGAAAGTACAGTAGAGCCTCGACTACAAATTTGATTTTCGTTAAGTTTCGAAAGTGTAGTACAACTGTCCTATTTTCGAGTTTCTCTGCAGCAAAGATGACTTATTTTATTAAGCTGTGTAAGAAACACGCTTATGTTTGTCTTCTGATAAAAAATCTGTTGTGACAAATCACACAAACGAAAAGGGAAGGCAAAAGAATTTGCATTCGATAGCAGCATTACGTCAGGGATGCAAAAGAGCAGTCTAAAAACTAGAGTATGACTATATTCAATCGTGGCTTATTTTCGTGTAAATATAGTATTTACCTCAAATTTTTGATGTTTCGTGTGGTGATCAGACGATTTTGTTTACTTATTCCATTACATTGCTCCTGAAGTTTGATCGAATAAGTAACCAAAGTTTATTATCGTAGACAACAATTGGAAAAGTCATTTCTACTTCATAAACAGTTATAATAGTTTATTTTCATAGCCATTTCTTCTTGAAACACCAGAGAATTCGGATCTCATGATGATCCGTAGCGTTAAATACAGCCCTTGTATTATCCTTATATATCCAACGATGAACAAACCAATTCATATCTCTTTCTATCTGATGACAATACAAACAAATCCCTTCCTCTCTTTGTTTTCTAAAATCCTGTCTCCATGGACAATTTTATACAGTGTTAAGGGACAAAAGGGGAAAGAATTGGACTTTTTGTTCATCGTTGGAACAAAAATGTTGGACTGGAATTTGAAAAAATTGTATAACTATAAATTCCCACCGTCTGTCCGTCTTTCTTTAATCTCGAGAACAAAGTTAGAAAGCTGAACGTTGAGACTAAATACGGAAAGCTTGGAGACCGGAGACTCCGATTAACTATATACGAATTTCCGGACTGCCCCGGAAGTCACGTGATTTCAATTCAACAACTTTCTCCAGAACGGAGTTAGATGGATGACTCGATTGCAACTAAGGGAATCGAGTCATCCATCAGGTATGATGTACAGGGTCAAGATGTTACTAAAATTGAGGTCAGATACAAAAAGCTCAGTTTAAATAAATTGAAGTATGATTAAAAATACGAGATCGCTCGTTCACATATAATGTACGCAACATAGGCGCACTCTAAAGTATTGTCAGACATGAGGTTGATACGTAACCCATTCAGAAGGTGACGTCACCATCACTTCACAACAATTTTTATTTTTTTAAACAAACGCCATTATTGACATGTTTTTCATTATTCCGTAAATGAATAAAATAATGTAACTTTTAGTTAACTAAAAAGAGTGACGAAAGCTGAAACTAAAACCAAGAAAATATCATCGATAATCTCATTTATATGTCATACACACTGATCACAATGTTCAATGAAAGAGTATAAGGCTATTACTATCCTCACAATCCTCTTCAGTTCTTAAACATAATAAAAATATAATTAAGTAATTACAATATTATTTTATGATTCAAATTTTATTGATTTTTTTTAAACTTAGATTATGGTTTATTATTCGAGACACTCTGGACCAACGATCGCCTCAAAAAATTAATTATTATGCTTTAGTTCCAAAGAAGATAGGCGATCCACAGAATAAAGTTCCTGTATTTGAGAACTTAAGTCAATGTCTGGATAGATTTAACACATCTATTGCGACTAAAATTCCAGGTAATAATTTACTAAAAATAATTATAATATTATTTATATATTATATTTTTAAACCTGATTATTTTTTGTAACATTTATTATAAAATATTATTTTAAAAGTATCGGAATACTTTTACTTTTCACTAGAACTTCATCCCCGAGTGCAGCGCAGAATAGGCTTGCGACCTCGCATTAGATTATTAGAAAAATGCTAAATTATTTGTATACAAAACTATCAAGTTTGACTTAATATTATTTAAAATTTACATAAAATAATGTACTTGGGACATTTCTTCATTCTCTTTCATCTCAAATTTATTAAGAACATTTATTTTCCTCTTGTAACCATTTTATCAATAAGATAAAGCACCATAAAGTGTATTTGCTGCATATTTTTAAACACAAACAACAGAAAGCACTAATGTTTCCACGAAGAATAGCGATTATATGGAAAAAAATAGGGTACTCAGTTTGTCTTTGTAGAATACCAATATTTAGAAGTAAGAGTTGTAGTCTACGTTGTACAGTACGTGACTGCAAGTGCAAGAATCCTTGTACTTGTCGGCCACACATAAACGATCGCCTCCCTACACCCGTTTCTTGGATCGCTACTTGAATTCCATTAGACAGGTTCAATAGCGTCGTGGAGTATGGACATTGTCACTTTGAACCCCACTGTATCTCAAAAAAGGAAATTAAGACCCTTATTTTTCATCGCAGTTTTGGATTCCTTGATTCAATTAATGGAAAATGGCAAAGTTTTATCAGAATCGGTCAATCAAATTTTGAGAACAGAACGCAGTTTTATCAGCCATTAGCTTACACTTATTAGCTTTACACGCATTAGCTTACACAGCCATTACTCCTCAAATGTAATAGTGTAGCGATGTAAAACATTCATTTTAATGTTGAAGAAAAACTCCGTTTTTATCTATGTATGCAACGAAAGGTAAGTAGTTGTGACGTGTATTTTACACGTCACAACTGCATTGCGTTTAGTTGTTGTTTGTTAAGTTACGGCAAGGCATCGCTTGGGCGATCTGTCTAGGGGGAATGCCTTCCGATAGGTCTTTTTAAGGATAACTGGCCTCTATTGGGCCATTACAGACGTGGAGAAAACCCGGAAAACTCCACGTCGGCAGCCCGTCCTGGCGAGGCGCGAATCCACGACCGAACTCCCAGTGTTTAGGGAACGGAACCGTTTTGCCACTAGTGGGCCCCATAGCATTTAGAGCATGACTAACTTCGTTTACGACGAAGGAAAACGTACACGGTACAAGATGAGAGGTATAAAAGTACCACGTTCTGTGCCACACAAATAGAACGAAAGTACAGTAGAGCCTCGAAAACTCGGCCTAATGTGGACCGAAGGGTGGCCGAGTTTGTGAAAATGCCGGGTTATCGGGAATGGGGTTAAAAAAAATAAGTACGAGTGTTTCCTCAGAAAATACTGTACTGTATTTGTATGTATTGTTTACTTGAGAATACAACAGAGAATAAACTGCCCAAATACCCTTAAACAAAGGAAAAGTACGTCCTTTATGAAGGCATAGAGCCTTTACTACATGAAAATGAAAATTAATGAATACACTGTGTACAGTAATTTACCTGATAAAACAGACCCCAGAAAAATACTTTATGAGGCATAAAGCTGTCTATAATGAAAATTAATTATCTAAGGATTTTTTGCCCTGCCAGGGTGTGGCCGAGTTATCCGGAGTGCCGGGTTATCGAGTGCCGAGTTTTCGAGGCTCTACTGTATTACACTCCTGATACTTGGCTAGAAACAAAATTCTAATACATCTTTAACATTTAATTTGTAATATTTATATTAAAAGTAATTGTCGACCAGCAATTAGTAAAGAAAGAAGTACATTGAAACAATGCAAAACGCTCTATAACTAATGATAAAATATAAGAAATTGCTTAATTTTGAACATTTCTAAGACAATTTGTTTAACGTTTGGTAAATTAGATGTAGTTTATTTGTTTTACAATCGCAATATTCTTTAGGATGTAGCCGATAAGAAACAGAAAAACGCAGATAAATGTAAAGCCATATTTCAAATTTAGCAGAAAAGTTTATATTTTATGCTACAAGCTTAAATTAAACGGTCCAGATAATGGATTTCAATTTTCTAGTTTATCCTTTCCAATATTTTTTATACAGGAGACGAGAAAAAAAATCAATCTCGCCAATAAACAAAGCATTATATAGATCATGTTAGGTGAGCATGTTATATATAAAATTATATTAATTACATAAACTAACTTGCATAAAATAATTTGATAGAGATTTCAATTTTACTATTCTTAATGTTAAAAAATTGAAATGAAACTTTTTGTATTAGGAAGAATTCTTTCTGTTGAAACTCAAATAAGGAAAATATCAAGGAAAAACCATAACCCAGAACGTTTAATATTGAAAGGTACTCCCTTCTCCAAGCGTACAGCAGCGTTTGTATTTTTCATTCGAATATTTTATGAATACAGCGAAACAAAAGGAGAAGAAGAAATTGGTAAGTTTCCACACCTAAACTTTTATATAAATGATATTTAATACAGTAGAAGTTCATTAATCGATGCCCGATAATCTGAAAGTCCAGTAATCCAGCAACCTACTCAAAGTAACCAACATGCAGGGCCGGATTTGTACATTTTAAGCAAGCTCCAGTCTTGCATTATGACTATAACTTACAGCCTCAAATGTTACTTTTCCGACTGTTATATACTGTACAGGGTGAGTTTTTTTTATCGTGAAACAATAAAATAACTTAATTGGATCTCATTATTCTGGAAAAAAGTTTAGACAAAAGTTGTAAGGTTTCGAATGGGCAATCAATTGGTGACCTTGGATGTAACCTTGACCTTCTTGTGTTTCCCATTGAAAAAAATAGATCTGACCTTCAAGGTCTTTTGAAGGTCAGATCTATTTTTTTCAATGGGAAACACATTTTCTACCCCAGCAATGGAATCAGTGGAAAATTTCACAGTCAGCCATGACTTTGAATACCCGAATTTGATCTCTGGAGGTCAAATTCAGACCTCCCTAATAGCTTGGGAGGTCTGACCTCCCAAGCTCGATAATTTTAAGCGCGGTTCAACAAATGCGTTTTGAACAGTTCTTATAAAATTTTCCCCCAAAACCCAATATCTCATGTAATGGTGAGAAGTAAAATGACTCACCGAAAACAAGCACCCCAATAGTGAGAGGGAAAGCGGACTCACTGAAAATAAGCACCTTAAAGGGTGCAGAAACCAGTACGTCCACATCGTTACTCCTGGGTAGTGCTAAAAGTAGTGAATGCTTTTAAAGATCAAAATAATAAGATCATGAAAAAACAAATTTTACCTCCCTATCTATTCCAGTAATAAAAAGTATGGTTTCCCCGTTAGAAAAAGCTTTTAATTTTAACCTTAAAATAATCTTGACCTTTGACCTAGGCCTTATGGTAAAGGATATATCCGATTGTGAAATTTGTGGCTCTTTCCATTGCCGGGTCAAAAATGTGTATTCCCATTGAAAAAAACAAACTTGACCTTAAAATAACCTTGAAGGTCAAAATCAAGGTCACATCCAAGGTGACCAATTGATTGCTCCTTCAAAACCCTACAACATTTGTCTAAACTTTTTCCCGGAATAATGAGATCCAATCAAGTTATTTCATTGTCTCAAGATAAAAAACTCACCCAGTATAACAGATTGAAAGAATGGCAATCGGTCAAAAATTGACCCCTTCATATTTTTACATTTTTGGACTCAGGGGACAGTGAAATGTCTAGAAATGCAAAAAAAATTCACGGGTTTTTTCTGTATGTATGAATGTTAGTGTGTTTATGGGCTCGATTTTGTTCACCCTCTTGGAAGCTTAATAACTCCTGTGCTTTTTTTGTCGAAATTTTCTGAACTTCTGCATGGAGGTTTGTGTATTAAGGGAAATTAACGCTATTAAATTTCGGTGGTTAAATTAATTAAAGGTCGACGAGGCGGGAAGATAAAGGGAATTGTGTCATATCTCTAGTAGGGTTGGACTTAATGACAACTTACAAGTTTTTATAAAACCCATTCCTACCCTCAAAATCATGTTTTTTGCCAACAGAAGTTGCCGGGAAAATTAAACAACTCGTTGCATTGTTAATTAATAGAAGAGAAGACCTCATTATAAATTGTAGCCTAAGGATACAAGAAGTCCAGCCATAATCGTATGCATCAGGAAAATAAACATTATATCTGTGAATGTTGATTATATGCAATTACGATTAGGCTTTTCACTCAGCCTTAACACGGTATATTTATGCAATGTATTGTCTTCAAATTGTTTTAAGATAAGCATTCAGTAGCCTGCGCTAGTACAAAATGTACGGCAATGTCTTAACTAGGGTTTCTCATTTCCCGGTCTTTTGCTTGTCCCGGGATCCCGGGATAAAAGTGAACTGTTTCCCGGGATCCCGGGATAAAAGTGAACTGTTTCCCGGGATCCCGGGAAATCCCGGGATAGAATTAATTATTTTTAAGGTATACAAAATATCTTGAAATCAAATGATATAATTATTTTCCATTTTTTAAAGTAATTTTAAAGTTCTGTAACCTCCAAAATCATATTAATAATGCTGTGTAAGGTCTATAGGCCTATAATAAAAATTACCTTTAAATAACGTAGAAATTTTCACAAATAGAAAAAAATTAATTAAAGTTTGCTGGAAACTGCATACAACAACAACAAAAAAAATGTTTTGAATTGAGTTAAAAATTAAAAAAATGAACTTCTAATTTAGAAGGTAATTTTCGTTTTTTAAATAAAATATAATACAAAATATTGCAAACTTTTATAAGATTTTAAAAAGCAAAGATGGTCAATACTCCGATAACTCACTCTAATTCTTATTTTAGTAATGAAAAGTCTTGCCACCGAGAATGCCCTTTCCGATTCAATTGATGTGATTGGAATAGTGTTTAATGCATTTAAGAGAAGACAGATATTATGTGTTTTTTCACCTGTAGCCTGGAAGATTTCGAGTTCGTTTTCGAGATTGTAGTACTTCTTTCGCTCTCTAGTATTCTTGATTTGTCTACCTTGGCTGCTTTAATAGCGGCATCAAGCTTAGAGCTCGATAATTCGGCAATTCATTTGGCTTTAATAATCAGGTTTATGAAGAAAAACTTCATACTTGCAGACTTTGTACTCGTTTGTATCCTTGCCCAATTTGCACAATCTGGCGTCAGGCATTTATTGAAGCTACTGGGCATGGTTAAAACTCAAGACAGCGTAAGCACAATTATTCCAGATATTACAGGTTCCGACAAGTAAAGAATTTTTATAGTCCTGCCACAAATAAGCTATATATTGATTATTGACCATTTGTGACATGCTATAACGAGCAAAAATTAAAAAAAACTAATAGGTAGATTTAAAATTAATAAATACAAATGTATTCTGACAGTGAATGAGTTAATTATGCTTTCTATTTGCAAAATTCCTCAACCATAACGCAAAATAAGAAAAAAAAGTGAATTTTTAAGAAATTTGCGGGATTTCCCGGGATAAGAAAAATTTCCCGGGATATTTCCCGGGTTAAAAAAACAACCGGGATCCCGGAATCCCGTTTGAGAAACCCTAGTCTTAACATATTCGGATCGTACAGTACATAACTTACGGAATTTTGCGAAAATACTATATAAAAAGTATGGAATGTTCGATAATCTGGCGCCATCGTAGACTTGTATAATACGGATTAACAAACTTTTACTGTAATAATAGGACGAAGCTTTTGTTACTTTAGTGATTTCATTATAATTGATGAGAGGATTTGTATTTAATTTGGATAGATTTTTATGTGGTTTTTACTGTATTAAATTACGCGAATTTCAAAGTAATGCTAACCAAAGTTTAAATGTACTAGTATTAAACTAACTTGTTACTTAAATTCATCGATTTAGAAAGTTGTAAAATATATAATTCATTTACATTTTTAGCAATAAATCTCACGCGTATATTAAAAATTAATAGAACAATAATAATTCAAACAGGTATTGCTGATTTTGTTCCTAAGAAGATAGAAACAAAAGGGACACAAGGATCAACAGCATATGAACCTTTTCATCAGTTAGTACATAAAGCATCTCAGTGGTATGCAGAACAAAGATATATTCGATTTTGCAATGCCCAAACTTTGCATTTAAAGTTGAAGAACGGTAAGTTGTTGTTTTGTTTTAAAAATTTTTAAATTTCTGTGTAATGAGTATAAAGCTTAATAAACGGCTAAATAATCATACTAGAACATACTTTTAAGAATAACAATGCTTAGGAATAACCCATATTTATTTAGAAAATCATTTTATTTTTTGAGCGGTGTTCTTCATAAGTCAGAATGTGTTTAGTCTGTAATTGAAGTACAAGGCAACCGCATGTCCACTAAACATGACTTTTTTGAAAATACAATCTGTTTCGAAATGGTAGAGCCACAGTGAAGTAATGATATTAATAATATAATAAGAAGTATATAGTATAACTGATTTTCATGCAGACACAATGTGTTTTGATGTCACTTAGTGGATGAATAAACAGCTTCATAATTAACATATAATTAGTCACCCATTAGCTCAAATGGCCTAACTGGCTTCCAATTTCTTGTCATTTTGTCACACGAACAGTCATTTCTTCCCCTTCGTATTTGTTTGCGAAGGACATTAAAAAACAACAAAAAGGATTGATTATTTGTTTATTATGATATAGTGTAATAATAGTTTTATCAGAAAACAGTAAAAATAAAAATATATATCGTATAAGTTTTAATAATGTTGTATAGAATATATTTGTCCCAAAATGATAGCGATATCCGTGCTTCATCGGTTAAATTGCAATTAATATGCAGAATAGCACACAGTTTAGAATAAAATACAGGACAGTAGGAGATTTCTGCAAAATACAGTTTTCGAATACATTATAAATTAAAGATTTTTTTCAAAAAAATTACATTAATTGTATGAAGGATATGGAACAAAAAAGTCATCTGGAAGACCCCGTGCATTGAATTCTCATCAAAAATAGTAATTTTCAGATAAATTAGCAATTCTACAATGAATCTGAGGTAAATTACATCTCATCTAGCCATAACTGTGTCAAAATCAAGTATACGGAGTTATCTAATTATCTACAAAATAAGAAAATGAAAAAAAATTCCCACTTAATAAGATCCTCAAAGACATACCTTTAAGCGGATTAAATATCACTTGCAACAAGTTATAAGGAGTGATGGGAAGAAATTCAACACGGATGAACCATACGGCGGGAGTAGCTATTACCATAGTATTAGGAAAAAGAATTAAATACTTATTATATAAAATTAAAATAAGTTAGGCGTAAATAAAAAAGGAGTAAAACTAATAAAAATAATACGATTAAAAAATTTTTATTCTGTAGATTTACATAAAAATGTCATTTAATTAAGTGTTAAGCCCGTAAGTGACAATAAAACTCTTTATATTCGCCCTTGGGTACCCGAGTTTCTTTTAAATTATACCCACAATGTGTTCGACCGGAACCACAATAGGTGCAGCATATCCGGAACAGGCTACTCGTGAAAAGTTTTCGGAGTTTCTCGCTCCAAAAATTTTTCACCCCAGATATCCCAGAGCGATAAGTTATATCTATAAGACATTTTTGGGTTCCTACACTACTAGAACACGCTGTAAAAATATCGCTACTACTTCGTGCAACATCCTACTTATCGAAACAAGATAAATACTACAATACTATACTGATGATAATTACCGTCCGTTACAATATTAATTTAATATAAGAAAGATTATATTAATTTAATATATAATATTAAATTATTATAAGACTATAAAGGCCCACCAGTTGCCAAGCGGTTCCTGTCGTAGGTTCGAGCCTCGCCAGGACGTGCTGACCACGTGGAATTTTCCGGGTTTTCTCCACGTCTGTAATTGAATAGGGCCAGTTACTTTTAAAAAGACTTCCCGGAAGGCATCGCCCGAGTCATGCGTTGCCGTAACTAAACAAGGCTATAAAAAACGATGCCAAATTAGTGAGGATGCCTCATCAATAAATGAACCTCATCATTTATATAAGCAATTCTATAAGTAAATATCATTTATAGTATAAAAATAATTATCTAATTTATAAGTTTTTTTATATATAGGTATATTATTTTAATTAATTTATTTGAATATAACATTTAAATTTCTTCCTAAAAATAATATAGGTCGTATTGATACACAGACTTTCTGTCACAGGGTAAATAAATATAAAAAGAACGATTATATAAAAATATTACGAGTGGTTTTCATAAAACTTCCTGAAGTAGCTAACGTTTCATCTCCTCTTCGTTTAACATGCAAAACCATTTATCCTTATCGATTACGTAAAGGAGCATTTGTTTATAAGTACGAAAAATTAACAGCAGTAAAAGAAAGATTACAGAAATGGTTGCAATTAACAGGTAATATTTGATGAATTTTTCATGATATATTTAAATTTGGAATTTTTCAATATTAATTGAAATATCTATTACCGCATTAGGTGCTCGAGTATTCAATATAGAAACATCTGCAATCAGAATTAAACTTGGAGAATGTAGAAACGAGATCAACACAAATATTACATTTCATCGTACTTGCTTCAAAGCAGGATGGATATATGTTTTCAGGCTATATTTAGAAGGCAATTATGAGGAACCTTCGGAGGATTTAATGCCACCGATTCCAGTCGTTCATAATTGTTGCACTATTTCATGAATTACATTAAAAATTAAATTAGAAGAAATTTTTGGTTAAAAGTAATAAATATAAACGATTTTTGAATTCGGTTCATATTGTCCTTTAATTCTGTCTTATTGGGCTGCAATTTGAAAAAATTGTTGACCTATAAATTCCCTATGCCTGTCTGTCTGTCTGTCTTTCTTTAATCTCGAAAATGAAATTAAAGATAAATGTGGAAAGCGTAGGAGACAGGAAACCCTGAATAACTATATATGAACTTCCGTTTTGAGCTGGAAGTTGCGTTTTTTCAATTCAAAGCTTTCCCCGAAAGGAGTTAAACAGGTGACCAGCACGACTCTATTGCTAACAGGAAAAATATGATATACAGGCCAAAACATTACTAATTTGAGGCGGAGAGCATATATTCTAAATTAAATTAATAAATATTTGACTAAAAATTGCTTCACTGCATTGTGATGATATCACAATAAATAATTGCTCGCGTGAATTTACTTTTTTAATGGTTGAATTACTATTAAATTTATTAACTCATTTATATCGTACGATATTTATAAATTGACTAAACACCGCTCTAAATCTAATACTTTAATAAATACAGTAAAAGTTTGCTAATTTCGCACTAGATAATCTGGTAGCCCGATAACTAACCGATAATCTGAAATTGTCCGATAATAATTCGACTGCTACCAGTAGTATTCCGCACATATGTAGCTTTTGTAAATAGTATGTATACAGTTCATGTCTATAAATTAATATTACATGCACACGAATCGTTGTGAATGTTGAATATGGGCAATAATACGATCTTGAATGGTGTTCGATCAATCTTAACACAATATAGTCATCCGCTGTATCATCTTACTTGTTAGACTGATTAAAGAGTACGCATACAAAACTCTGAAGCATACAAAATGTACAACAATGTCTTCATGTGTTCAGATCGCATATAATATTGCAAAAACGACCGGAATCATGCATCTAAGAGATCAAAAGGGAGTGCTTAATTAACAAACTTCTACTGTACTGTACACTGTAACTAATGATTACGCAGCCATCTTTCGTTGTCATTTACTAATAGCCAATATCTACTAGGCACTTTTCAAACTTAAAATATATTCGGTAAAATGTTTTACTTAAAAAATTTTTCACCTCAACACTTTTACAAAAAATTGCACCATTGCATAACTTAAAATTTTGGCTTTTAATTCAAATTTAATACATTTTGGCTCTAGTATTTTCAAATCTATTAGAGATTTTTGCAGTCTTTATGCAAATTATCAGAATTCATATTTGTATATTACTACTTATTATACATAGGCCTGATTTACCTTATAATTCAAGTAAATGTAATAATTCGTAATTGCAGGAAATGTGATAAAATTTTACATATTCCTTAGATTAAAATAAACGTGTTTAAACTAACGTTATGTTTCCGACGAGATATCAAACTGATGCCTTTCTTTTGTTTGTTAACAAAACCACGGTGCGTATTTTAAAAATTATTGATAGCAATTGACTCGTTGGAATGTTGTTTCTCAATTCATAAACATGTAAGAGTCAATTTCAGTTATTCGTGTTGTGACTTTTGTCCTTCTAGTTCTTTATTATGACCCACTATGCGACGTATTGAAACTGGCGTTCGTACCTTGTACCAGCATTGTGTACAATGTGTAAAGTTTGGAAGAGGTTTATGTTAAAGGACAGTTAAATAACTCAAGAGTCTGTAATGTAGAATTGGATAGCACTAACGCCTTCTTTAACAGGATAGATCGGTTTACTTTTGTTTTCCAATAACATCACATTCTAGCGATTCAGCAGCCAGGGGGCGCCGCTAGCTGTTTGATCGCCCGTGTGCAATATCGATTATGCCGCCCCCTATTTAACTACGACTACCTACGCTGAGCTTGCCAGAAAGGCTCTTTAGAATTGTCTCATAAAGGTGGGAAAAAAAGAAAAGAAATACTTTACAAAGGAAAACTATTTATTATTACTAAGTTATTTTTGTTTAGTTAAGTGTAAAACCATATAAATATTTATCTACAGAAATTGAACTCTTCTTGCCTTTATGTTTGCGAAATCTGCTATCAATTTTCTTGTATCCAAGCTGTCTAAGATTTCATGTTCAATTGAAACTATAGCTATAAACTAAATTACTTAGTCTTTGCTGATGCATTGTTGATCTTAAATTAATTAATTAAATATTTTTTTATAATTTTTAACTTTGAAAAGGACCTTTCACCAAATGCAACTGAAACCGGCAATGTAAGTAATATTCTTAGTGCTATTGCTGTGTTCGGAAATGTTGAAATTAAGTCATTAGTAAAAAGATATTGTAATAGGGTTTGTGGATCATTAGACTGGTTTTCTGGAAAATGCAACTTTAAAGTATTGATTTCATTAAACAAATCAATACCGTCAATGTCTGTTTCACTACTTGAATCGTCTTTAAGCTTCAGATTTAAATCCTAACCAAGTTAAAATATCATTAATTATACTTAGACCCATGTCAGAAGAATTATTAACAAAATAATTGCAATTTGATATGCGATAGAACTGTTCGAATGCGTACAAGTACAAATTGAGAAGGAAGCTCTGTGGGGATTCCCTATTTTCGCCAGTCCTGTCAACTTCTGTCATAGAGCACGACTATGGGTACTTGGCTTTCGGGCGCCGCCGGATGGTTCAACCTGCCGACAGACGTTTCGCATTGCATCTTAATTCTGATAAATACCAATAGAGGCGCTGTTAACGCTATAATATAAATAAGAATATAGTAATTGCGCGCCGGTCGGATTTTTTCTCCATGCGAAGACATTTCTTATGCTATAAGTAGGGTGGGTATTATGACAATGACTTTGAATATTACGTGACCGATCGCTCGATTTGCCGCCCCCCTGGACGTGCCGCCCGCGTGCGGTGCACATCTTGCACGCCCGCTTACGGCGGGCCTGTCAGCAGCCAATAATCCTGTGGTTCCTTCTTAGTCTTGGCTTTTTTCACATCGTTCACTAACTTCTGGTAAGTACTTCGGTTAGGATAACACTTTTTTTGCAGCATTCACTCGCACTTTAGACAGTTCATCGTAGAAGCGTCGTTGCATGTCAACATGCCATGATTTCTTCTCAGACACTACACCTTGCTCTTCCATTTTTGTACAATACAGTATGGACTATTTTTTAGTCTTTGCTAAACAAATTAACAAATTATGCTAACAATTAATATTTTTTATTAATTGTTTTAATTATAGAAATATCAATTTGTCATTATTTGGCGGCAATTTTCAAATTGCAGACCTGTACATTCCCACTTTCGTCCGTTTGTCCTCCTTAATCTCGAGACAGAGTTTGATAGATAAAAATCGAGATCAGATATGGAAAACTTAGGGGACGAAGACCCCGATTAACTATACTGTATACAAACCAGGGCTGTGGAGTCGCGTAAAAATCTACCGACTCCAACTCCGACTCCCGACTAGGGGCAGACTTGTTACCGAAAGAGACCCGGAAATTCTGATGTCATCACGTGACCTCAGAATAAAATATTCAATAAATAGAGTTGTAATAAAGATAGAGCGTAGAAACTTTTTATTCCAAAGCTAAAAGACTTCTCTAAGTAATATATAAATATGTATTCGATAATTTTTACTTTTCCGGCTGTTATATATAACAGAGGAAAAGTGTAGC